TTTCTTTGTGTGTGTGTGTGTGTGTGTGTGTGTGTGTGTGTGTGTAGGGTCTCACTACACAGCCCAGGTTCACAGTGATCCTCCTGATTTTTGCCTCCTAAGTGCTTGGATTACAGGCATGAGCCATCACACCTGGACTCCATTGCTGGCTCAGCACACCCGGGGGTGGGGGCAGCACGGCCTGTGAAGCCAGGGATCAAACCCTGGCCCCTGCGCTTACCTAAGCAAGCACTTAGTCCACTGAGCTATACTGCTGGCTCTTATTTTCATATATTTAAAAGCTACTTGTATTTATTTTTTATTTTTAAGAGGAATTCCTTAGTTTTCTATTGAATTAACAATCTTCTTCTAGTTTATAGGAAGATTTTTAAAGCAAATTGTCTCTTTATCAGTGATTTTATAGGTTTACTTTTGATTTTTTTTTCTTTTGGTGGTTTTGGTGAAGATAAAAGATGTATGTAGTCAAATGTACTAGTATTTTGTCATGACCTCTGCATAATAAATCAATTCCATGCAAATTGCTGTGATTTTATTTTATTTTTTGGTGGTACCAGGGATTGAACTCAGGACCCTGCGCTTGCCAGGCTAGCACTTATTCTACTGAACTATCTCCCTGGCCCAGTGATTTTATTTTATTTATTTATTTATTTATTTTGTTTGTTTGTTTGCTTGTTTTTTTTTTTCCCCAGTGATTTTAAATAACAAAATTACTATACCAATTATAGAAGTATCACAACTTGGGTGATAAGTTATGAATAGTCAGCCAATTTCACAAATATTTAATTACATCTACCATATGAAAGCTTGCTCTATATATTCTGATAAAGTCTACATGCTAAATAGAAGTTCAGAGGGAGAGGACACTGACTTTTCTGGAAATGGCAGGAGTGTTGTCATGAATGTAATACTACGCTTGAAGTAGGCACTGAGGGGCTTTGTTTTGTTTGAGACAGGGTCTCCCTGTGTAACTCAGGCTAGGCCTGTATTCACTATGTAGCCCAGGCTGGCACAGAACTCATGATGTTCCTCCTGCCTCAGCCTCTCAAGTTCTGGTATTACAAGTGTGTGCCACCATACCCAGCGACAGTGGGGTTTGGACTTGTCTGGTGAATAGGGATTTCTTGGGTGCTTGGTGTTTAGGTAAGACGCTCTCTAGTTTGTGAAAAACCTATAACCTGAAAGTTAAAGGATCAGACTTCATAAATATTGGAGTCTGAGGCAGCTCTAAAGAATCTATTAGAAGCATAACACGTGCTTCCATCTAACAGAAAATCATTTCAGGGCTTCGTGGTGATGAACCCGTGCTGACTACTTTCTGTCTTGGAAATCTTCCCTTATGATTCAGCTACTCCAGGTCCAGTCTCTTAGGACAGTATATTTAGCTTAACTTAGACTGATTGCCTGTGCTGTGGCTAAGAGGACTTATTGGGTTTACTTTGTTTTCCTGTATTTTGTTTCATTTAACTTATTTTGAAATAATTTTAGATTTTCAGAAAAGCTCCAAAAATGGTACAATTTTTGTCTCTCCATTACACAGAAAATAGAGGAAAAGAGTGTTTTTAAAAAGAGAAGTGATCAATCTTCAAAAATATACCAAATAAATTTAGTGGGCATCAGGTTATAGGGAGGTTTCAGGACAAGTTGAGAGATGA